ATACAGAAGAAAATACTAAGATTTATTTAAATTTGATGTATTGTCTTTGTTATACTTGTAAAGCACGCGGCGACATAAACAAAGCTTTTAATGTTAGATGTAATGTTTCTACCGAGACTTTTCTATGTTCATTAATTACCACCTGACAACACTAGACATTACCTAATTGCCTTTTAATTGAACTCTGAGTTTTTTTTTTTTTTACATTAAGTGACCCCGATAGATTTCAAAACTATTTCAGAACTCAATGTTCCCTTTCTTAACTACGTAAGTTAGGTGGTAAGATATTGGATTACAAGTGTTTTTTTGTTACAGTCTCATATTTACTGTTAGTTTTCATTTTTACAATAATCAGTAGATTTGTAAAATGTTTTCCGATAACAACCGACGTTTTTTTTAAATAGTAAATATTTGGACTACCAATATTTCGGTGTGATTTTGAATTAACTAAATTACTAAATTATTGCATTAATCAGTAAATATGACTTTTGTAGATCCTGCACCTGGAAGTTATTTGGTATTGAATTGCGGTTCAAGTTCAAATCTATAGTCAAGTTTTTATTTAAGTTTTTTGCAATGATCAGTAGATTTCTAATGCATAAAATGACACTTTCTGTTTAGACATCCATTATTGGTTCATTGGTAAGATATCGGACTATCATTCTTTCTATATGAGTTCAACTCCACTGAAGTTTTTGACTTTATTCAGTTGAGCAGTAGGTTTACATTTTCGTAGTAATAGGTTGTTAAATTCTTTAAATATATTATTGCAGTTGATCGTGTTTATCATGGGATATAAGTGTATTGATTATTTAATAAAATCTTTGCGTAAAATTTCAGACAACTAGCTGCTAAGTAGTAATGGCGTGAGGAGAACATTATCATTCGTCCAGAATTGATTGTCGCCCCTAATATTGTCTCGTTCAACAACTGGCTGACTTTTTTACTTAATTTCAAATTATTATAATTGTTATGTCAAAAAATGCTAAGAACGTCAATGGTGGCTTCATGGCGCAGACAGTATGGGGGGGGTGCTTAGCGTCAACGGTAAGGTCAGTAGAATTTATCTGTGTGACGGCAAAGTGATCGGGATCGAATAACGCAATAATTCTTGTGCACGGTACAGATTACAAGCTCGAATGTTGCCAGGGACTCTCCCCATGACTTAATGTTCAGTTATGATCTAAAAACATTCTGAATTTATTATCCACGAATAAAACATTAACACATTTTCTACACGGATTCAAATATTCGTTAACGGATTCTTGCTGAACTTGAACACACGAATCCTAGAATTACGGTCGGCAATCTTATCACTTCCCCAAACCGACTAATTGCTAGCCGATGTTATGATTTATAAATCTTTCATTTTTTAGTATAATATATTCCAAGAAAAAGTTCACGTGAAATTCGGAACAACTTTGCAAACAAATTATTCTGAGCTCAAATCATACCTCTTATTTCTGAAAATATACCTGGTAAGCCATTACTGAGTTATAATTGAAAAATATACAGCTCGAACTCGCCTATATAGTGCTCGAACACGCATCGAAACCGTGGTTACTAAAGAACTTTCCACTTTCACCAAAGAAGTTCAACTCTTGGGAAAGGTTCGTGATACGCACATATAAAGCAATCAGGATTTCGTAAACTTAGAAACAAACTAGGTTTCGAATAATTTGAAACTTATACAGCAATTTGCAGTCCGGATCTCCCTTTTTCGTTTGTGTACCTTAAAAACGATTGGTCGGGAAAAAAAAAATTTTTTTCCCCCACTCATTTTCCTCGTCGCGACAGTTATCTCAAGTAGGTGCGAATTTTAGCTTACGTCATCGACAGACAGCCGTCTTAAACATATAAATAGCGCATAAATTTTCAGTTCAGGAGGAGAAATGCAACAGCTTCTGAACTTCATGTCGGCAGATGGAAGGAAAGTAGTTACTCATCCGTTTATTACGATGCTTCAACGACCGCGGCCAAAGAGCGAACTCACTGATTCCCGACATCGCCATGGTAACCATGTCAATAACTAGGAACACCCCATATTAGCGACACCAGTTAAGTACTGTTTCACTGACAATTTTTTTCTACATTTGATCTCGCAAATGTAATTAAGGAAAAGACATTTCGAACTCTTCACCATGTGCACAACTGTGAAAACCACTTTTACCTATATACTCGAACACTAATACCGTACACAATCAAATCACACACACTCAGTACATACTGTCGTTTTTGAATAAATGTTGTTTTGGATTTGGTTAATTCGAGTTTTGTCTTTCTTGCGAATTGTTGCTTGTAAATGATAAACTTTGTATGTTTGAGGCTTCGGTACTGACCAGGCGTTTCAAGCCCTCAACAACCTACATATATATTGGTTATTCAAATATTTTACGAAAAATAAATGCAAATATTTTATTCAATTTGGCATTGAAATAAAAGCATAGTACCAACCGCTATCATTTTGCGCACAAGGAAATATTTTTTAATGAAAAGCGTCTTTGGTCGGGTTCGAACCAACACACATACTTTTTTATAATTGAAACATCTTGTGTTTTTTTTTTCGACCTAACCACTACTCCATCAACGATACAATATTAAAGCATTACTTGCAAGAAGACAAAATTCATAACGATATACTTGAACACGCGAGTTACAGTCAACAATCTTACCACAAACCTACACCAAACCGACTAATAATTACCTCATTTTAGGAGTTTATAAATCTTACATTTCTTGGTATAATATATTCCAAGAAAATGTTCACCAGAAAGTCGGAACAACTCCTCAAACGTATCATTCCCGGTAAGTCATTACTGACATATAATTGAAAAACACAGCTTCTTGCGTTGCTCGAACTCGCATCGAAACCGTAGCTGTTAAACAACTTACCACTTCACCACGAACTCATTCGTCCAACACTGACTGTCGCCACTTATATCGTGTCGGTAAATAACTAACTGACTAATTCCAGTTTTCATTTAAGTCGTTGCAATGATCAGTAGGTTTCAAGTGCATAAAATGAAAAATTATTTGGACGGCTATTGTTGGCTCATTGGTAAGATGTCAGACTGCTATTCTTTCTATACGGGTTCAAATCTACGGGAGGTTTTGACTTTAGTAAGTAGCTACAAGAGCAGTCCGTTCACGATTTTATACTAATAGATCCGTTGTTAAGTTCTTTATATTGCAATTGATTGGTTTTATCATGGAATAAGTGTATTGATTATTAATAGAATCTTTACAGAGAATTTCAGACTGCTGGTTGCTTAGTTGTAAAGGCGTGAGACCTTTATCATGCGCCCAGAATTGATTGTCGCCCCTTGTGTCGTTCAACAAATGATTTCTTTTTACTTAATTCCAAAATTATTAAAATTGTTACAGCAAAAAATGCTAAGACCGTTAGTGGCAGCTTCGTGGCGCAGACGTTATAGAGGGTCGGTTAACATACAGTCTTAGGTCAGTAGTAGAGTTACATGCTAGTCGATTGGCGATCGAATAGCGCTGACGGTAAGGTCAGTAGAGTTACTTGTGAACTTCGAAGTTGTTCGGGATCGAATAGTACAGAGTACACGTTCGAATGTAGCCAGGTACTGTCCCGGTGGGAGAATTCTCAACGACTACTATTTTAATTTAAAAACATTCTGAATTTATTATAAAATATGACGCGGACTTATTTATTTTCAACCGACAATATTAACGAATTATTTACCCGATGACAAATTTTGTAAACGGATATTTGCTTTAATTTAAACACACGCACCCAAGAATCACTATCGGCAATTTTACCACTGATCTACACCAAACAGATTAATAGTCGCCTGATTTTAAGAGTTTATAAATTCTACATTTCTTGGTATAATATATACCAAGAAAAAGTTCACTTGAAATTCTGAACAACTCCGCGAACAAATTATACATATTATTTCTGAAAACATTCCTGGTAAACCATTACTGACATATAACAGAAAAACACTTCTTATTCCAGTGCTTGAACTCACATCGAAACCGTGTTTGTCAAGCAACTTACCACTTCACCACGCACTCCTTCGTCCTGACCAGATGCTTACCAATTATATCGTGTCTTTCAACAACTAACTGATTGACTTCAGTTCTCATTTGCGGTGTTGCAATGATCAGTAGCTTTCTATCGCATAAAATGACGAATTATTTTGACGGCCGTTGTTGGCTCATTGGTAATGTGTTAGACTGTCATTCTTTCTATACGGGTTCAAATCCACGGGCGGTTTTGATTTACTAAAGTCGGTGCAAGAGCGGTAGGTTCTCTATTTTATAGTAATAGGTTCGAATCCGCTGTTAAGTTCTTTAAATAATTGATTGGAATAAAAGTGTACTGATTATTCAATAGAATGTTTGAGAACATTTCATACAGCTTGCTGCGTGAGGAGAACTTGTATATTTACTCGTCCAGAATTGATTGTCGTTCAACAACTGATTTCTTTTTGTTACTTAAATCCAGAATTTGTTTATTAAAATTGTTATGACTCTTTGCCTCGATTCAGGCGCCTTATACCACCTTATGTTCACAGAACTGGCGTTTCCCAAATTCTGAGAACAAAATAGACGTACGTACAAACACTCACCTATTAACACACACACCTCACAACCACAATGTAACTGTCCATGTATATAACTTTTGCATATATTTGTATAATCAATGGCGTTTTGTATTTTTTTGGACTGTTGTATTGGTATATATATAAAGTACAAAAGTAGAAATGACGACAGTATTTGTTTGTAGAAATGAGTGTTTGTTGACATCACAAAAGATTGTAAGAATTTTTTTAGAGATAATAATGATTTACTGATACAATTCCTACTATTTAACCTATAACTGGGGGGGTGAAGAAGAGGTGGATTCATACCTTTCTCAAGGGTATATGTGCATACATAAATATAACAAACCCAACTGGAATTGGAACTCAGCTCTCTGATTTCCAACTGACAGCTGTTATCCATTACACCAGACACATCAAAACTTACAGCACCTCGTATTCCCAAGCAGTCACCCATCTACGTACTGACCAGGGTCAACATTGCTTAACTTCTGTGATTGGATGAAAACCAGTGTATCAACATATGGTCATAAGCCCAATAATGAGAATAAAGTCAATTCAAAATTTAGTAGCATTGGAATTTCAAATGTACCTCCAATTAACTACCTGTAGCCTAATCTAACAATTTAGCTTGTAGGTCATCAATATTTGATTGATTAATTTATATATATATTTTTTACAGCTTATCAACCTTTTGCAGGTTACTTAAAACCAAAAAATAATTTTAAAGTGTAAAAATTTTTTTTTAGATAATAGTCATAGAGTCTTACTATTTAACCTATAACTTTGGGGAGAAGAGGTAGATTCATAGATTCCCTAAGGTTATTTGGATGTAAGTGAATATAATGAACCCAGCTGGAATTGGAACTCGGTTCTTCAATTTCCAACTCTGTACCATTATCCATTACACCACTGACATATCCAAGCTTATAGCACCTGGTATTCCCAAATATTCACCCATTTAGGAAGTGACCAGGCTTGATGTTGCTTAATTTTGATGATCATATGAGAACAAGTTTCAATGTAACATGACCAAAATCTATTAATATTTGATTCCCAAATAAGGGAATATTATTTGAGGGATCAGTTTTCCTTTACATTCAGTTACAATAAGACCCCAGACTTTTCCCAATATGAGCTTCTATATATATATATATATATATATATATATATATATATATATATATATATATATATATATATATTTTTACTAGATAATACACTTGTAGACATGATTGTCAAATTGGACTATTTTTGAAATATCAACCTTACTAAATTTTGAATTTCACAACTGACAATTTCTAGAGGTACTTTTTCAAAACAGCTGGGATAACTTAGACTACCTAAAGTTTAAAATGAATTTTTTAAAATGAAAAAAACATTCTTGAAGACTTCATTTTAGTTTTAATTGAAAGCTAAATGATTAAATTTATTATTTTCAGTAAGGTATTCTAGTGTATTTCAGAGAGAAATTAAAATTATATAGATTTGAATGTCAAATTTCATTTTTATTTCTTAAAATTCTTAAAAGTTGTCATTTTCTTAATTTTAAGAAATTTGTAAGCAAAAAAAAAATATTGATTTTAAAATTCTTTAAAAAATAATATATTTCTGACACATTTGAGTGAAATTAAAAAATTTGAAGTTAAATTAAACTGATTTGAAATAAACATTACTTATAGGATAAAAAGGTAATATACAACCATTTATTTAATGATTGGTCCTGCTTATCAGCTTATCTGAGGTGATAATGGATGGCTGATTAAGTGACAAAGTGACGGCAGCTAATATGGGTGGCCAGAATTGATACAAAATTTAAGAAATCTAAGTGAACGCATTTTTTTTGGTTTTTAACTACCTAGTAATTTTTACAAATGAACATATTTTCTGCAATTATCTAATAATTTATTGACTTTTATTTACCTTTCGAAGATGCTTCATGCAAAAATAAAAAAAAAATTTAAAATACTATAAAATTTTCATAAATTAATTTCTCTGTAAAGAGACAAAACTCTTAGATCATGTGATCGTTACATAATAATGTCATGTTTAGACTTTCATAGATGAAAATAGGGAACATATTAAGTAAAATAATAAGAAATAAAAAATTATTTTAAAAATAGTGTAACTACGTTTATTAATCTTTTCAATTTTTGATAGGAAACATGTAATTCTGTATATCTACTGTATAAGAAGCTAGCTGACTGTTGCAACCAACAAACAATGGCACCCCTATCACAAAAGATATATATATATATATATATATATATATATATATAAATATATATATCTCATAATGACAACCAACCTCGCAACCTGGGTTTCAACCATAAGGTCTCCTCAGGCAAGTGGAAGTGGAAGATCCTTCCACTTGCCTGTGGAGACCACCTTACAGTTGAAAAGTCGGTTGTGAGGTTGGTTGGCATTTTAGCCTTTTCTTAAATATCTTAGCCCTACATATTCAATTTTGAATTGGGCACTTTTTTGTGGTCTATACCTTTTAGGTGCAACTGTTTTCTGTCTTCCTTTTACATATACATATACACACACATATATATATATATATATTATATATATATATATATATATATATAATTTAGTCTCTCTGCTTAATAATGATATATTCTGTTAAGGCAACATAAAACATCACCCCAAAGCAAACATGCCTCTTGTTACCAAAACAAGAAAATCTCATTACTAAGTAGAGAGATCAGGAGATATTGCTTTTTATTTATTTGTGTGTGTGTGTGTGTGTGTGTGTGTGTGTAAGGTTTCTGTTATGATAAATTACCCATACATAGATGGACTCTTCCAAGTTACAAATAAAAGCAGATACTGCTTTTCTCAGAAGAGAGTTTTTTCCCAACAGTCAGTACTGACAGTTTGGACTTAACATTCTTGCTCCCTTGTATATTATTGTATTAGTGATTTTTGTTAATATATTTGTGAACTAAAATCCACTCTTATGTCTTTGCTCTGACCCCAACAAAGCCACAACGGTATCTTTCAATGCTTTTACTTTTAATGATTGAAAAAGGTAGAATTTTCCCCATGACTGTCACTTTGCAATAAGTTACAGTCAAATGTAGTAAATTTGAAGTGTTTAATAAATTCATTGTCATTTAATGACACCTTAGATTGTAAAATAGTATTCAACAACAGTTATTATTTATATTGTTGACTAATATCCTCATCTTTGTTGTTATCATTATGATTCAGCCGTTGTGCCTACTGTTCTTCATCAGGTGTCTGTCAATCTGTGTCTTCATGAATTTTGAACTGAACCCTTTATTTAATCTCCGGGCGTGTAGATTGTTCTCATTCTATTGTCTATTTCAATAGCCTAGTGGATTAAAGTTTTAGTTTGTGAATTTAATTTCATAATTGTGAGTTCAACCCCTGGGCCAGGTAGTACAAACTTAGTGAAAAGAGAATCAGCAATTAATGAAAATAACTAAAATAAGAACAAGACCAGATATCCCTAGATATGGACAGTGAAACGAGAACAATCTATCACCTAGATTAAATAAAGAGTTTAGTTTGAAATTCTTTGACAGTTATCTGGATCAACAGATAACTGTAGAAAGCCTGAGGGTGAAATGGTCAAAACATTGTAATAATAACAACAAAGATGAGGATCTTCGTCCATCTGTAAATAACTCCATGTCCCAGAAATTCAGACCAAAACAATACAGTTAATAATAGTACTAATTAGCTAATAATACATATATAAAATACAATCTGATATACTTTTGGTGTAACACTTTTCTAAACCACTAATAGTATTTTGTTTAGTTTATTATTCTGGAGTCATCATCATCATCAGTCTGATGACCGAAATAATTGAGCCCCTACCCCCTTTAAATTCAGAAAATTTAAAAAGAGAAAATTTGATAATTATGAACTGAAAAAGAAAAATTATTTTTTCAAGAGGCACATTTCTGCAGAAATGTCTTTTTATGTACTATTATTAACTTAGTGCTTTTTTTTTCCTTCTCTCATGAAGGATAAAAAAAAGTTTTAAATAACTTATCTGATTTAAGAAGGCTTTGAACATTGTAATAGAAGTCTTACAATGAAAGTATAATGTGACAAAACAAGGTAAAACTAAGTTTAGAAGAGCAGCTATAAAACACAGGCCATAATTTGCATGTACAAAAATGAAAGTAATTTTGTTAATACACTTCTGAACTAAAAAAAAAAAAAAAAAAAAAAAGCTGAGCAGTTGATTTTAACTTAATTGACTACAGTACACAATTACTTGAAGCAAACAGTATTTGACTGGTTCAGATTTTGTAGGGGTTTATGCTGCTATTTTACTGAAATAAAAAAAAAAACAAAAAAAACAGTGGTGATAAAATTGAAGGTTCAATAAAAACGATGGAGATTGATGAAACATTGATTGTTAAAAATGAAGAAAAAAAATATAACCGCGGTAGAGTGCTTCATCAACAATGGCTCTTTGAAGGAACTGAAAGAAATTCTGAAGAATTTAATTACTCTGTAGAATTTGTTCCTGATAGTTCTTGAAGCAGTCATCGAAAAGACAAGGTTCTTTGATCATTAGTGATTGTTGGTCCACTTATAATGGGCTAAAAATGAAATGATCTGGGGGTACAAGAAGTTAATTCATGAAAATGACTTTGTTGATTTACATGAATCTTTAGTTCATAGTAGAGAATAGCTGGTTTCAAGAAAAAGGAACCAACAAGAATCCACATGAAGGGGCAATGTTCTGAATACATTTTAACTGGTGATTTATGATCCCAATCCTAGACTTTTACTCAAAACAAACACAAACTTCAGAAAATTTATTTAACACTTAACATCCTGTACAGTACAATTTCACTGCACTGCTTCAGTGACCCAGTCTTGAAATACATGATATTATACAAATCAAACCTTGTTTACTGGTAGCGGCTTGGATTGAGGAATTGGAGAAACGAGTTCGAATTCCAGACAAATCCATTACATTGACTTACATGCTTGGGAAAGATATGAATCCTCTTCTTCACCCTCCCAGCTATGGGTAAATAGCAGGACAGACCAGGTTCTGTAGCCTTGGATGGCAACTGATCTACCACAGAAAGAAATGGCAACCTACTGTGGGAAAAAAAATCTGCCGCGTCAGTCGTATCAAAAGATACATGATCACAGAAGCGTGTATCACACTTGGCACATAACTGACAGATGCATTCTTTAATGTAGGGAAGAATCTTTTCCTCTACTCTTCATTTCCATTCTATAACGTGATTTCGGTATCATAGCTAAATTTTCAACAGAATGTTAACTTTACCCGTGCCATAAAAATTGACAGCATTTCGAATAATATTTTTTTCAAATTACTATTGCTACATTTTTTTTTTTACCTGGTTAGTCTTTTCACCTCCTGGCTGTATCTTAGAACCATCTACCATTGTTATAACAAAACCATTGCTCCCAGTGTTAAGTGAGATAATTATAGTGCAGTAAAAAAAAAAAAAAAATCACAAACAAATAACACTTAGTGTATGATAATATT